TGTTTTTACACAGATCTTAATTTTGTGCACAACGCGGAATTTTCTCCTTCTCTTACACTCTTGCGTGTAACGCTCGATATATCCCTTTTGCGAACGAAAAAAATTGCGCGTTATTGAAAATAAAACGACGAGTTGTAAGAGAATCACATTTCACCACTTTGTTAAACACAGACTTCGCGAGTCGTAAACGCCGAAGGAATACACCACCGTAAAGAACGCTTAAAAAAAAGAAAAAACTCCCCTCCCCGCATACGCGATATTTGCATCTGAAGGCGAGCGAGCCGTGTAGGCTGCTATTACACACACCCGGCAATATTACTTTCATAAATACCCACAGCCATTATTATTCCACAGACGAAGTTCATCTCTAAGTGCGCGTATTCACGGGACTTCTCGTATCTCGGCGTGACGAACGCGAATTCCCTCGTAATACTCGCGGTTGATTAATCGTGCCCGGCGAGCGATCGGATTCGCGGATACGCGCGGCTCGATGAAATTAATCAAGCAGAGACCCCCGATTCGCCGATCCGGTGCCGCGACTCCGATAAGCCGCGAGAATACGCCGACCCAATATCGAGTCTCTGACGCGATAAGGACCTCCTTATACTTTGTACGCGCGGGGTTCATACTGTCCCGACCCGAGCGACGAGTGTGGTTAATTAATTATACCGACGATCCGATCGCGTGGTAAACGAAGCGAGACATTAATCACAGGTCGCGGCCGGACGTCGCGACGTTTGCAACGTGTTCATATCGCGCCGAGGAGGAGGCGGAGGAAGGAGGAACCCCCGTGGACGTTCTCGCTCGCGGAAAAGAGTTTCATTCGCGCCGCAATTAAGCCCGCGATCCGTCTTCGTCGTTTCACGGAACTGGCAACCGCGATTAATTACTTGCAACCGGCATTTTATTCCGGAAGCGAACGTGACGCGCGCGCCGACTTTCTTCTCACGGCTTTTCCTCTCGTTTCTCTCCGTCGCGCATCAATTGACTGGAATAAAAAAAAAAAAAAAACAAACATATCTCGTATGTCACGCGGGACGAACATGTATATATGTTAGGTGATGTACACACACGTCCGTTTGTGTGCGAAATGTATATTCGAAATTATTTAAAATTATATTGTAAAATTATATTGTTAAATAACGGGGAATCAAGTGTATAGCGGAAATTAGGAAATAAAATTTGTAGTCGTTCATTTGCGACTTTTGGTAAAATTTTAATAATTAATATAAACGCGATTTTAAATTGAAATTTTAATTTTGCGTATGTATTTATTTATAACGATGTATAATAATATCTCGTGTGTGCGTGTGTGTGTGTGTGTGTGTTGTTAGTTTTTCTCACACGGAATTACAGAATATATAAACGCGCGAGAATGCAAAACTCGAAGATAATAGAATCGCGATACAAACAGAAACCGTCAAAAGAGAATTACAAATTTCTGTTGTTCGCAAAATTTCTATAGATGATAAAAGTTGAAGAAACATCACATTGGGATTGTGTGTTGCGAACTAACGTTGCAACATTATATTTTTAATTGCGTTTTGTTTACGTCAGAATTCTGCAAGGGAAACATGTACGCGCGCGCACGTAAACATGTAAAAAGCACACGTCTATGGAAACACGATGAATGTAAAAATACTAGTATATACGCGTATCCTTGTTGCGGGATTATAACGCGGTTGTTTGTTTTTTTATCCGCCGTTATTCTACACGCACCCGATTTACTGACGGGCGCGTCCTTCTGAACGATTGAATTCCTGACACACGGGAGCGACACGATAAATTATCCGTGACGCATCACGGTTTTTTCGTGTTACGACTGATGACAAATTGTCGCTCAATGAATTATATACCTATGTTGAGATTTTTGCTCGCGACGATTTCGATTAAGCAAAAAAATAACCGATATCTGTGGCCGCGCACGCGGATATCGATCGCGATATCAATGCAACAACGTACACACACCCCATCCGCGAACAAAACAAAATGCGACAAGTGAAGCGAAAAACAAATTCGAAACTAAACAAAAATCTCCCTTTTTATCAGAATAATATGAAGAGATTTTCGCAATATAACGTGTATGTGTGTGTGTGTGTGTGTTGCGGAAAGCGAATGCCGCGCTTATCGCGCATTGAAAATTCATGAAATTCGAAACTTGCGGGGCAAAAACGAGCCGAAGGATATTTCAGTCGAAAATATTCGGCGCGGGCCAAGTTGCGAAATAGCGGCACAATCACCCTTCGCATTTTCCACATTGCGGGAAAATAACCGTGTCCCGTGTCATATCCGGACCCGGCGCCCATTCGGTTTTGTTTACAACGCAAATGCTCGAGGGTGGGAACGACGATTGCCGACGGGGAGGGGGAGGAAGGTACAAATGGCCGTTTTGTCGTGCCCGGCCGCCAAAAGTCACACCGACGCTCTGCGGCGAATCGTTTTCGTGCTCGCTGTAAACAATGGTCCGCGGAAGCGACGACACATCATCGGACCGGATATAATTTCGTTCGAAACGCATCGAGTGAGTCGGACACACGCGACTACAACAACGCTTCTGTGCAATATACATCCCAACACATTCCCAACACAGTCTCTTCGCAACAAGCAAGTTTGTAAAATCATAGTCTGCAGAAGCGAAAATCTCGTCCGGAAATGAGTGTCCATTAATCGCTGATTTATCGGAACGGAAGAGAAGGAAGAGAAGCAAAAACTTTTGTTTCTCAACTAACTTTTTTGCGACAAATACGAACCATTCGGAGAACTCGAGTTTTGTGTTGCGAAAATGTTTCTCACGGCAGAGAGAAATATTCTAGTCGCAACTTGTTATACGCTTTCAATTCTACGCGGAATCCTCATTAAGAGAACGGAGAAGGAGAAATGCGGAAGAGAAGTTCGAGAATCTGCTTTAGTCGGAAGAGTGTGGAACAAGAAGGATACGTTACAGCTCTCGAAAATGTTCGGCTCTTATCCGGAGAGGAGAAACGTCTCGGAGGAAGCTCTCCGGAGCTGTGAATAGAAAAAGGGAACCCTAACAAGGCGATTCTCGGCGAAGAAAATTCGCGGGGGGGTTCGCCGAACCGGAAACGGTTCCCGGGCTTTCGTTCTAAAGTGGTGGCAAGAGAGATCGAGCGCGCGCGCGCGAAAAACGGCTCTTTATCGCTTTCTTTCGGTCGCGGCACACGAACGACGTCGTTTCGTAGGACGACCGTTTCGCGGGCGGGGAAACGGCGAGGAAATCGAGAAGAAATACGAGGAGAAGAGAAAACCACCCTCTTTTTACGAACGGTCATTGCGCGAGCGACGAAGAACCATCGAACCCAAACTGACTCTCTGGCACGCCAGAGTTCGGCGATTTTTTCGTCGGGGATCAACTCGTCCGCCGTATTAATGACCGCGCAGCACGGATTATCCGCCGGGATTTCTCCGCAAGCGCGCGCGGCGAGGTCCATCTTCTTCGAGAGCGAACTTCTCCGTAAAATTGATTGCGCGGCTAGAAAGAAACGCCAAGGGAGAGACTAAAAAAAAAAAAAGAAGATAGGATTCCAATCGAGTCGGGGGTAGTTTAGCAGGAAATTTAATACAACGATTCTCTTCTTTTCGGAAAAGCGGTTTCTCTCCTTTGAACGATATGATTGAACGCTTTTATATATCGATACGTCTTGCTCGATGAAGAGAGCGCGAGGCAAAAAGTTTGCCGAAAGAAGAAGCGAGAGGAAAGCTTCGGATGAGACCGAAAACATTTATTTATTCCCGCGAGACGTGCTAATTATTTTCGCCAAACGATTGGCGGTTTTCCCATCGGGACGCGGTCGTGTCGGTTCGTTACGCGATTCGACAGAGAGAGAGAGAGAAAAAAAAATATTGCGAACTTTCGCACAGCGTTGCGTGCTACACCGAAATCGACACGGTCGAAAACTAGTTCGAGGAACAGTTTGGCCGACGCACGCGAGTCGATTCTTTCGCGTGACAATTGCGATAAATAGAAATCGCCCGACCGTAAATACTCTTCATCGAGAGATCATTTTCCTCTCTCTCTCTCTCTCTATCTCTCTCGCTTGCGCTCACGAATCGACTTGACGCTCGACTAATTTCCCGGCTCCCGAATGACGAAACAAAACTGGCACTTTATTAATAATTAACGCGGCGCGGCGTGTTTGAGTATCAGAACGCGTGATGCTTTTCATTACGGGTATCAAAGCGCTGTATACAGCACGATTTATTCAACGCCCGGCCATTGTCCGAAAGTTGTTGTGCTATTGTTATCAACTTCGCAAAACGCCTCCGAGAGAGGTCGATTAAAATGGCGAGCCATTTTAGGGTCTTCGAAGGATTAAGGGCGCGAGCCCATTTTTAACCGGGAATAAAAAGTGAACTCCGATTACCATAATAATGTCATTTAGCACTTCTGTCCTCTCAGGTTTTTGTGCGGGAAAAACGTGACGAAAGGGGAAGAAGATCTGGCTCGTTTTTTATACGGCAAAGCGTCGTAATTTGTAATAAGAAAAATCATTTCTCACTCAATTTTCGTAACAAGATTCTTACATCATTCATCTCGCAACGCAACACAAAACGTTTTGCAAGGAAAACGATCGAGCAATAGTTTTCTTAGCAAAATGTCTGGCAATCATCATCTTGCTGTTTTTTTTACTAATTTGATTAATTTACTTATCGAATGTTCTAACAATTGGACACATTGAACTAAATTTCCGCCGAACTCACGCACTTTAACTGAAAAACTATATGTGTGGAATATCTCTCTTCTCTAAACATTAATTTGGAACAGTTGTTTTTAAAGAGATTTTTACGATACCATTTACTGAAATATATGATATAAATACACAATTGTAGAATGTATATTTAAAGAACGTAATGTATAGACAATGATGAACAAATTTTGAGAACAACTGGTCCATGATTGAGCTGGCTTTGAAATGCTTCGAGACGTTCGAACATATCCGGCAATTAAAAATAAATAAAGACGTGCTTTTTTCCTATTTCAGAACCGTGCGAGAAAACCTACTGCGCCTGGGGCGCGACGTGTGTCGTGTCCGAAAGCGGCAAGGCTATGTGTCAATGTCCTGCAGATTGTCCTTCGACTTCCGATCCCGTTTGCGGCTCCGACGACGTGACCTACACCAACTATTGCCACCTACGGCAGACTAGCTGTCTGAAGAGAAAAAATACCAGAGTGAAGCATCAAGGCGCATGCGGTGAGTGCGCACAATCCCCACAACGCTTGTCTGGAAAAATGTTATCGTCCGGGGAAGGAAAGAAAGAAAAAAAAAAAAGAATGACAAAGCCAGAAATTGATTAAATTTATCATCTCCATTGTTATCATCTCTATTGTTACGTGAAATTCTCCGTCACATTGTTCAGAATTTCTCAAAATTAGGACGTTTTTTTTTTTTTTTTGAATTACCGATTTATCCGTAACTCTCGCTCGCGTTTGAAACCGGGCGTGTTGCAGCACAAATTTAAAAAAATATTAGTTTTTAATTTCGCTCGGAATTTCGATAGATTTTAATTTGGAAGTTACGTATTTTTTTTTTTTTTATTGTTTGTTTGTCACAATTAAAATTCCCGGTATGTCTTTGTCTCTCCTTTCTCGTCGGCCAAAAAAAAAAAAAAAAAAACGATTTTAATTTACTTCGTGTTATATTTTTTAAGTATCCGCTTTTTGCGATATTAAACGATGCAGTATGTAATATATAGTATATGGATATTAATGCGCTCTATTATTTTATCATTATCCGTCTCTCTTTGTTGTTTTATCCGTAACGTGAAAACCCATATTTATTTTACAACATCGCCATATCGATAATGTTTTTCTGGACGTTTTTGCGTGTCACGGTATATTATTCGCTAGAATATTGCCTGCCACAAGAGAGAGAACGAAGGCGGTTCACTCGACAGTGTGGCGTTCGATATACATGACAATCGGGAAGGATTTTCCGAGGGCACGTAAACGGAGTTTATTTTAAATTTGACACATGTCAGTGTCTTGTATAAAAATTCAATTTCGCGGATTAATCGCAAATCGCGTTATTTGTGTATCGCAATCTGCGGTAATGCGAAATAGTCGTTTTTTATTTTTTTTTTTTATTTTTCAAAGTTTGACAATATTGATAAAGTCATCGGAGAAAGTTAAATCCGATATGTAAGCGTATATATCAGAGAAAGTTTTTCTCTGACGTACTAAGCAGAGAGAGAGAGAGAGAGAGAACACGCGCGCGCGGAGAAGATTCTTCGCGAAAATGAAGCGATAGAGAACAAGCGATGGAAGATTAATGTTGTCGATTTAACGTCATGCCGAAGGCTCTAAAATGAGTTGCTTATCGTGAGAGCTCGCCATTACGAGCCCGCATTACTCATCCAGGGTTAAGCGGTGACAAAGCCAAGCTAAAACTTTCAAGCCCCCCCGACTTCCTCGATGATCCGTCGTAGGTCGCGGCAGCCTTTTAAACTTTAATTCGCTCAACATGCTCGCTCAAGTGCTTCCCAATCCTCGAGATCTTTTCTCGAGATCTGAAACGAAATATCTCGAAGCTAAACGCAAAGTATATAGTTTGGCAAAAAAATCAACCGGATGTACCCGGAAGACAGAACCGCTTGCCCGCCCGCGCACACACGTATCACACATATGTATGCGAAAAAGCCGCAGGGAGAGACAGAACTCCGTATACCTTGAAACGTACTTTATCACTCTCCACTCTCTCTCTCTCTCTCTCTCTCTTTTTGCTCGCGTCTGTCCCGCGGGATCCCCGGGCTGCCATGAATTAACCAGCATCCGATACGCGATTTTTGCTCCCGGCGCGCTTTCGATCCCCGGCATCGCGCCGGCGCGCTGATTCTCAAAACGATCTTTTATTCAAGATCCGCTGCGAGAACTGCACGCGCGCGAGCGTTTGTTGTTGCGCATCTTCGTCTTTCGCCGTACGTACGTCCGTCTCTCCTTGCACGTGTAGTTGCTACATCCGCGGTGTGCTCTTGGAACTTCGAGCCGCGGTGAAACGTTTCTCGTAAGGTCGGATCGCGCGCGAGGTGTTACGCAAATGGAATGCGTTACTCGCGAGAGAGAAATACGTACAACCTATCTCCGGTGGTAAACTCCTATGTGGAAATTACGGCGATAACGCGTCGTGCGCGCGCGTCTCTGCGCCGATGCAAATTTATCCGACTCACCCCGCAATTGCGGGGGAGAAAGGGGAATCATGATTTCGAGGGGCTGTAATACGACGCGTAATGCGATCACAGTGTGCAAGAGAGAGTATCGCTTTGATCTTCGAATTCGTCGAAACACGGAGGGCGGTTGCGCCACGCGATAAGTGTTAACTTCTCTCCCGATTACCATATCGATCCGGAACTGATGTGTGTGTGCGCGCGAGTCGCATGTGTGAAGGCGACCTCAGAAAACGTGGATGGGTGACGATTTTTTTTTTTTTTTTGGTTCTAGTTGCAATTTATCTCAAACTTCATGATCCTGATTAATGTCCGAGATCGTTTTACGACGTGAATCTTCCCGCCCCGTTTGAAAACGTCATACAAAGACCCCATTTTCCGCGTCATTGTCTTCGTTCTTGCGGAAGAGAAACGTCGTCTTCAAGTTTCTCGCGGAAAGTGATTCAGCCGTTTCGTGAGTTCTACTTAACGTTCCTCGCAAAGTCTTACACAGCGCACCAAATTAATCGCCGCCGCGACTGAAAGACCGGACAATGCGGACACGCGCAAGATCATGAAAGTTCAAGTGCCCATCCGGCGCGCGATAAAAGGACGCCGAGGAAGGTGAAGACGTTCCGACCAACTGACAGCGCACAATGCGAAACCCCCCTCCTCCGCCTACTGTTCCTAAACGTTCCATGGATATTCCATTTCGTTATATTCCGAAGTGCTTTCTTTTGAAAATATGCGAGCGTGTCGCACGCATCGCGAAGTCGAATCAAAAGATTCGGTCGAGCGAACAAAAATTCTTCCTTCGCAGGTTCAATCTCGCTTTTATAGTTCGTTTTCATTTATGTAATTCAGGTCGCCATTTTTCAATTGAATTCTTCAATCGCCACTTTCTCTGGTTTAACATTTCCGCGATGGATTCCACCAAGTAGAAATTGGGAAATCAGTGTAAAATATTTTGAATGGATTTCGCGATGGGGAAAAATGGACCGAGTAATTTTATTAAAAAACCATTTATCCACCATGGCAATTAAAACAGCAAATGATAATAGAAAAACAGTGAAGATTACTTGGTAGAATGAATAAATCGTTTTCAATCAAATTGGTTTATTTTTTGAAATTTATCAAACAAATTGTATACTCACCGATATTCAAAAAAAATGTCTCGTATTTTAGTATTTTGATATCTGTCTCCTTTAGATCGAAATCTCTCTCTCTCTCTTTCTCTTTCTCATTCACGTGATATTAAAGTCGCTCAAGTGCGGCGCGTGTATACACGAACGTGCATACACATCGAACGACTCTCGCGTCGCTCATTCCGTTGGATGAATGCACTCGCAATCATTCCGCGTGCGTAATACAGTAGGCAATCTGCGAGGCTGCAGGGAAAGAGGGTGCGGCGGGACGCGTGTCTAATGACAGAAGAAACGGCTGCGCACGCGCGCAAGAAGGAAATAGGAGATATCGCTCAGAAATGAGACGAAAATAAAATCGCGCTCGCAGCTTCTAGTCGCGCGTCTAGATCCGCGTGCGAGCATTCCGTATTCTTCACGTATCTACCTGTTTTCTCCTCTTTTCGCCTCTCGCGTCTCTCTGCTCGCATTATTCCACTCCGCGTGTTTGCCTTCTCTCTCTTCGCAAACCCTCTACATCTGATCTTCTCCGGTCCTATTTCACGCGCGACGTATATAGAGCATTTCTTATTCGTGCCGTCCCGCCATCCAGTCTTCACGCCGGCAGTCATCCTACAAGCAACCCGGCACGTAAATTATTATGCGAACAAACAATGCGAAACGAGCGTTCCAACGTCTCATAAAACAGCGCGAATCCCAAGCGGTTTTCGTGCGCGCCGCACCTCTCTCTCCTCTCTCGGAACTTCCCTCTCGGAACAACTCTCCTTCTTACTATCTTCGCGCATTCGTTTAGACTGCTCTCTCTCTCTCGCTCAGGAAAATGATATCCATCTCTAAGATCACATTATCGCGATTTCTCGGTTTATCTTTCGATCCCGAGGTGCTTAATTGCTTTTCCGAATAAAAATAGTCTCCGCAAAAATGGGAGGAGAGTTTGAACTATATCTCTCTCCGCGCTTGTAGACTAGTTTAATTAATTGAGAAGTGACGAGCTACTCGAGTGAAATTGTTATTGCAAGAATCAAAATTTATTTTCGAGAGCTCTATATATATTTGATACAATATCATCAGTAAGTTACTACATTTCATCGTTTTATTAAATGTTCGCGAAAACATCTCACAGTTTTTTTCAACATGTATGTTATTTGCAATCCGGTGATATATTTTCCGCGTCATCTGCTCGGAAATAGTAAAAAAGTTTCGTGTAATCCCCTCCTGTGTTATTAATCATCTCATCCGATCATGGACATTTGAAAGAAGCGACAAAGATGGGACGAGAGAAGAGACGTACAGATAAAGAAGCACGGAGGCAGAATGAATGATAAGCGCGTCGTCTCTTAAGCGCGAGCTTCCGTCCCCTCGTACTTTTGCCGACTGAAGGAAGAGAAAGCTGCACTCCCATCCTCTCTCTCTTTCTCTTTCTCCCGCGGCGAGCTTTATCTGCTTACTTCAGACGTGCTGCGCGACGTGGCCCCCTCGTTGCTTGGTCTATATTCACGATGGCAGAGTCTATAATTTAGTCGGTGCGGGATCCAACCTCCAAAGGGAGATCGAGACGACGCCCTTATATAATTCAATCCGCACGGAAATAGCGTCCGGTTCTCTCCTCGCTGTGTAAAATCTGCGGGAAATAACTTATGCATATCTTCTCGATGGTGGATGCGTCTATCGCAATTTAAACGCGGTGTTTTTATGCATTATCTGCAAAACGCTCGTCGCCGACGACGCGCCATTTACAAAAATTGTCTCATTTCAAGATTTTTCAAGACGTATTTTTTTTCGCGCGAAAAAAATCGCGCTATTTGTGGGAAATTTGATATTTTATCTAATCAGTGCGCGCATGGGGAAGAAGATACAGTGGTTGTAATTCAGTCCGCGTGATGTGAAGCCCGTGTCGGGAAAACGAAAAG